TTTTTTTTTTTTTTTTGCGTAACCGGGGATTGAACTCATATCCTTGTGCTTGCCGGGCAAGCACTTGTTCTACTGAGCCATCTCCCGGGCCCCTTTGTCCTATTTTTAAATACATTTTTAGATATTTGTATAAATTTTAGAACCACAAGAGCACCTGAAGAAACTTCCTTAAGTTCTCTCAAAATTCCAAATTTATCTGTTTTTCCTTTAGTACCTGTTCCTCCTGTTTCTTCTAGTATTCCGGATTTTTCTTCTCATGAACAAAGGTATTAGGTCGTCATCCCTAGCACTATGAAAAAAGTCATGAGGCTGCTTTTGGATGAGAGGTCTCTGCCCCTATACAGATTGATGACATGAAACGAATTCTGGCTTTTATACCCTGATGCAGACGGTGAACTTGCTCCTCAACAAGGGAGCCAGCCTGAATGTCTGTGACAAGAAAGAGCGGCAGCCTCTGCACTGGGCAGCTTTTCTGGGTAAGAGAAACATTTGACCTTTAGGTTCCTTTAGGAACTCCTTTTAGGGCTCCTAGGGCAGGGATACAGCATTGTAGCCTTTGGGGAGAGGAGCTCAGGGCCTTAGGGTCCACCATCCACCTTTATGAGAGTGTCCTCTTTTCCTAGGGCATTTGGAAGTCCTGAAGCTGCTAGTGGCGCGCGGCGCAGACCTTGGCTGTAAGGACCGCAAGGGCTATGGGCTGCTGCACACAGCTGCAGCCAGTGGCCAGATTGAAGTGGTGAAGTACTTGCTCCGAATGGGGGCTGAGGTCAGATGCTGCGTGCTGGGGCTGCTGATTACGGCAGGGAGTTAGCGGGTCGGAGCCTGTGATTGAGGCAGGAAGATGCTGAGATTGTTTCGTGTCATTTTGGGAGGTTGGGTGGATGTGGTGAGAAGGTCTGAACAAGGCTCACATTATGTAATAGTGCCCTCGTTCTTTTGGGTCAGAAACCTGGGGGGTGCTGACACGGGTTTCTGGGACTCGGCTACATTGAAAGTGTTGTTTCTATATTGTTTAAACTGACATATCTCTTACCCTCACTCCTGGAAATCCAGATTGATGAGCCCAATGCTTTTGGAAACACAGCTTTGCACATTGCCTGCTACCTGGGCCAGGATGCGGTGGCTATTGAGCTCGTGAATGCAGGAGCCAATGTCAACCAACCAAATGACAAGGGCTTCACACCACTGCATGTGGCTGCAGTCTCCACCAATGGCGCGCTCTGTTTGGAGCTGTTAGTCAATAATGGGGCTGATGTCAACTATCAGGTACCTGAAGGGATGAGGCTTAGATCAGTGAGGAGAGGGACCTGGCTTTGGGGACCCTGGGCATGTCCAGATAGGCCTCCTGGGGGGTTGTCCACACATGCCCTGGAGTATTTGTGTCTTGGTAGGCACTCAGGAGAATGTGGGCTGAAGAGATGCCCACGTGTTCCCTCAGTCACTAGGGATATGGCCCTTAAAAGTGGGGTTGGGGTAGTCTTTGAGCTTTATATTGAAAAAAATCCTTCCATGTTTCCACAGAGCAAAGAAGGGAAAAGTCCTTTGCACATGGCTGCCATTCATGGCCGTTTCACACGCTCCCAGATTCTCATCCAGAATGGTATGGACTTGGAGAGAATTTGTGCTCTCATCTACTCCTGCTGGAATTGCCTTATTTCTTTCTCCTACCCTATCTTCCAGGCAGGAAAAGCACTTGCATCTTTGCCCTGCCCACTTTCCTAAGGCTTATGAACAAAATACCCCATGTCAAATGTCGTGCACATGAAACTGGGTATAGGGCCGGGGAGATGGCTCAGTAGAATAAGCACTTGCCTGGCAAGCGCAAGGGCCAGAGATCAACACCTGGTTCCACCAAAAAAAAAAAAAAGAAAGAAAGAAAGAAAGAAAGAAAGAGAAACTGGGTGTAGTGGTGCACACCTATAATACTAGCATTCGGGAAGCTGAGACAGGAGGATTATTGGGAGTTCAAGACCAGCCTGGGCTACAAAGTGAGCTCAAAGCCAGCCTGAGCTACACAGTGAGACCCTTTCTCAAAAAGAAAAAAAAAAAAAAAAAGCAGTTACCTGGTAACTTAACTGGTGCAAGTGGCCCTAAACATGGGTTTGTGTGTGTATCCCTCTCTCAGGTAGCGAGATTGATTGTGCTGACAAATTTGGAAACACACCTCTGCATGTGGCTGCTCGCTATGGGCACGAACTGCTCATCAGCACCCTCATGACAAATGGCGCGGATACTGCCCGGTAAGTCAGGGTCCCCAACCCAGACTCCAGGCCGATACAGATCTACACATCCTGTTTACATCAAATGTGAAGTTATAGAGATGCTTGCCAAAAGGAAGCTTGAGGAACCTCCTACCCTGACTCGTAGGATGGGGATAGGCCACAGTAGCTGGTCCCTCCTTAACCCATGTGCTAAGCCCCTCCTCCACTTCTCCCCAGGCGTGGTATCCACGACATGTTCCCCCTGCACTTGGCTGTTCTTTTCGGATTCTCCGACTGTTGCCGGAAGCTTCTATCCTCAGGTATGTGCTGACTGGCTGGGGGTCAGCAGGTGTGCACCTGCCACTCCACCTCGGTGCTCTGGGTGTGACCTGTGGCTGCTCTGCCCCTCCAGGTCAGCTATACAGCATTGTGTCTTCACTCAGCAATGAGCATGTGCTTTCAGCTGGGTTTGACATCAACACGCCTGACAACCTTGGCCGTACCTGTCTTCATGCTGCTGCTTCTGGAGGGTGCGTTCTCCTTCCTCTGTCTCAGGCCTTGAGAAGAGAGCTAGGCAAGGCCCGGTCCCCACTGCCAGCCAGCTCCCTGCACTCCCGTGAGGGCAGGCTGCACACGTCTAGCCTCTCAGCCTTGCCTGGACAGTTTCTCGAGGCTCTCTTACCCGTTGGCTTCCTTTTAGGAATGTCGAATGTCTTAATTTGCTGTTGAGCAGTGGAGCTGACCTAAGGAGAAGGGACAAATTTGGAAGGTAAATGAATATGGAGGAGTACAGGGAGCATCTGACTAGAGAAAGGGACAGGAGAACTAAGTACGGAGAAAGTTAGTGGCAACATATGCTTTCTTTGGGGTCTGTGCCTGATTCCTTCACCCACTCTCTTTCCCCTGCTCCCCAGGACCCCACTGCACTATGCAGCCGCCAACGGTAGCTACCAGTGTGCAGTGACACTGGTAACTGCTGGGGCAGGAGTCAATGAAGCTGACTGTAAAGGCTGCTCTCCCCTCCACTATGCCGCTGCCTCTGACACCTACCGGAGGTGAGGTCGTTTTTTGCGCTCGTCAGGCCCACACCCCTCCTGAGCAGCCCTGACCTCCTCACTGTCTTCCCCAGGGCGGAACCCCACACTGCATCCAGCCACGAGGCTGAGGAGGACGAGCCACTGAAGGAATCACGTAGGAAGGAGGCCTTCTTGTGAGTAGCAGGGCAGACCCCTGGGACGTGCGTGGCTCACAGCACCAATCCTGGCCCTGTCAGTCTCCTCTATTCCGAATCTCTGCCACTGTCATCCAGCTCAGCACACTGAGTGTGAGAAGAGAGCACAGTATAAGTCACTGCTTTCCTCAGCCTGGGGCTTCTCGAGAAGACCAAAAGCCACTTGCTTATTCCACAAATTTTAATTGAGGTTTTTTGGGTTTTTTTTAATGTATTTAGTATAGAGTCTAAAGGGTCTCACTATATAATTGGATTTGTAGTGATCCTCCTGTTTTCAGCTTCCCACACGCTGGGATTCCAGGCTTGCCACCACGCCCAGTCTCGCTGACTCTGTACCCTGAGGGTGGGGCCGGCATGCCAAGGCTCGAACCTGGCCACTGTGCTCTACCTAAGCAGGTGCTTTAGTCTGCTGAGCTATCTGGCTGGCCTGAGTATTTCTTTATAGGTTCATAAAATTGCAGTAAGCACTAAAATAAGGGTTTTTTTCCTATGCCAAAGATTGAACCCAGGGTTTATCCCATGCTAGGCAGATCCTCTGTTATCGAGTCCATTGTGAGCCCAAAGGATAGAAGAGGAGTTGCTTGGTGCTCAGTGGTAGAGCATAGCACTCTGCACTCAGTCCCCAACAATAGAACAAATCAAAATGCCCATATCAAAAAAAGATGAGGGGGCTGGTGAGATGGCTCAGTGGTCTAAAGCACCTACTTAGAACAAGCTTAGCAAAGCATAGGGACCACGGTTCAATCCCCCAGCCCCACATGCCAGCCAGCCCCGCCCCCTGGTGGGCTGAGCTGGCCACACACACACACACACACACACACACACAAATAAATAAATTTAAAAAAAAAAAGATGAACCACCCTTTAAAGAGTAATGGGGCTGGCCAGATAGCTCAGCAGACTAAAGCACCTGCTTAGATAGGCATAGGGACTGGGGTTTGATCCCGGCAGGCTCTGCTGGCCCCGTCCCCAGGGCACACTGAGATAGCAGCTGAGACTGTGCATGGTGGCACGCGCCTGTAATCCAAGCATTTGGGAGGCTGAAAACAGGAGGATCACTATGAGTTCAATCTGTGTAGTGAGACCCTGTAGACCCTGTACTAAGTACATTAAAAAAAAATAACTGGGAAAATAAAAGGACTCTTATACAGTACTTACTAATGTAAGAAGTTAATCACAACAGAACTAGGAGTGGTACGTATAGAAACTCTGTGCTGCTGGGAAGATAGCTCAGCAGCAGAATGCCTGTATGGCAAATACAAGGTCCTGAGTTCAGTCCCTGGTACCAAAATGAAAAAAAAAAATTCTGCACGATCTTCATAATTTATTATTTTTATTTATTTATTTGGTGCATGGTCTCCCTGGAATTGCAGGCATGCACCACTATGCCCAGTTTGAGTGCCCAGCTCGGCGCAGGGCTGGCACAGCATGCCATACCAGGGATCGAACCTGGGTCCTTGGCTCTTGCTAGGCAGGTACTTAATACTGCCAAGCTATCTCCCTGGCTCCCATAATTTTTTTTTTATGAGTCTATTCTAAAATAAAAAATGAGCACATTCCTTTAATCCCAGCATTTGGGAGGTTAAACCAGGTGGGCTGCCATAAGTTTGAGGCCTGTCTAGGTTACACAGTGAGTTCAAGGCTAGCTACTACATAGCGAGACCCTGTCTCAGAAACACCAAATAAATAAAAATTTTATTTACAAAAAGGACACTACTAGGTGTAGTGGTGCACTCCTATAATCCTACCTTTTGGGAGGCTGAGGCAGGAAGATTATAAGTTTGAGCCCAGCCTGGGCAATTTAGTGATTTAGTGAGATCCTGTCTCTAAAGATAAAAGGCCAGGTATGGTGGCACATGTCTGAAATCCCAGCACTTAGGAGGCTGAGGCAGGAGAATCACCAGAAGTTCCAGGTTAGCCTGGACGACTTAAAGGCCTGGGGATATAGCTCAGTGCTTAGACCCTAGGTTCAATTCTCAGCACCACAAGGGGTAGGTAAAAAGGGGACAAAGGATACAGCTCAATGTGAAGGTCCTAGTTCAATCCCTAGTACACACACAAACATAAGGCTCAGAAGCCAGATGTGTTGGTGTGCAGCTGTAATCCCAGCACTCTAGGATGCCTGAGGCAGAGGATCTTAAGTTTGAGTGCCCCTGGGGAATTTAGTGATTTAGTAAGACCCTGTCCACAAATAAAAGAGCTGGGGATGTAGCTCAGTGCAAAGATCCTGGGTTCAATCTCCAGCACTGCCAAAAAAAAAAAAAAAAAGATAAAGCTTACCTGTGCAACTTTGGACAAGTTACTTAACCTTTCTGTGCCTTAGTTTCCTCAACTATATGAAAATTAAAAATACTTCAATTAATATTATAGCATCTACTAAGGTACAAGAAGTATGTCGAAGTGCAGAGGAGGAGGTCATAACTGGGAAGCATAAGGCTTCACAGGAGAGAAGCTGGCTGAGTTTGCGTTGAGCTAGACTTCTTCAGGACGGGGAGTTGGGAGAACAGGTCTGCAAGACCCAGGCCAGGGGCCAAGGCAAGCACAGCATCCCAGGCCTGTAGCTGAGCGGCAGCCCTAGGTTCTACAGGAAAGCACCCAGAGCATAGAGGAATGTGCTGAAGGCAGTGGGCTTAGAGCTGGGCTTGGAGAATGACAGAGGGTGGCCAGGAGGGCTCCCTTACCCCTCTGTGCCCAGGAAAGCTGGGCCTGTTCCTGTCTCACCATCTGCCTTCTGGCTCCCCAGCTGTCTGGAGTTCTTACTGGATAATGGTGCAGACCCCTCCCTGCGGGACAGGCAGGGCTACACAGCTGTGCACTATGCAGCCGCCTACGGCAACAGACAGAACCTCGAACTGGTGCGTGCGGGATGGCCTGAGGGAGAGGAGGCGGGGCCAGGGCCACGGGCTGCCTTTGGGTTTGTGGTTCTGAAACCAAGGGGTGTTTAGTAGATCCAGAAGCTTAGGGGGCTTACTGTGAGTAGGGGCAGGGGACAGCTCTCTTGGGAGTTTTCAAGTTTTAGCACCTACCTTCCTATCATTGCAGCTCTTAGAAATGTCCTTTAACTGCCTGGAGGATGTAGAGAGCACCATTCCAGTCAGCCCTTTGCACTTAGCTGTGAGTCCCTCTTCTCCTCTTCCTTTCTCTGTCCTTCCCCATCCCAGCGCCCACATGAGGATCATAGCACTGGTGCCTCTGTCTTTGTTTCTTCCTTTTGGGCACTGGGCAGGGGTTCATTGGCTGGGGAGGGATGGGCCTTGCAGAGAAGTGGCCTGAGGGGCCCAAGAAATTTGGAGGACCAATGCCTAGAGTCACCCTCTGGGTCCCAACAGCAGAGTGGGGATGGGAATGTCCCAGCTATGTCCATTGATCACTTGTACTGCTCCAGGCCTACAACGGTCACTGTGAAGCCCTGAAGACACTGGCTGAGACGCTGGTGAATCTGGATGTAAGGGACCACAAGGGCCGGACTGCGCTCTTCCTGGCCACTGAGCGAGGCTCTACGGAGTGTGTAGAGGTACTTACAGCCCATGGCGCCTCTGCCCTCATCAAGGAGCGCAAGCGCAAGTGGACGCCCCTACACGCTGCTGGTTAGTATTCCCTGTTGGCTCTGTCTTCCCTTGCCGTACTGAATCTTTCCCAACAGATTTAGGGCTGGGAATGGGGTAAGACAAAGAGTAGAGAAACTTCAAGTTCTAATTGATAACTTCTTGCCTTGAAGATTTCTTCTTCCTGCAGGCCTTCCTGAAACCTTAACCCTCAAGTCCTCTAGACTCAGCCTGACCTCTCTCCCTCATCTTTTTTTTTTTTTTTTTTTTTTTTTTTCAGTACTGGGGATTGAACTCAGGCCCTTGTTTTTTTTTTTTTTTTTTTTTTTTTTTTTTTTCAGTACTGGGGATTGAACTCAGGCCCTTGTTTTTTTTTTTTATTTTTTTTATTTGGTGGGGGCAGCTCAGCCCACCAGGGGGCGGGCTGGCTGGCATGTGGTGGTGCTGGGGGATTGAACTGTGGTCCCTGTGCTTTGCTAAGCTTGTTCTAAGTAGGTGCTTTAGACCACTGAGCCATCTCACCAGCCCAAACTCAGGCCCTTGTGCTTGCCAGGCAGGTGCTTATTCTACTGAGCCATGTCCCCAGCCCCTCCCTCATCCTGACACTGTCCTGACTCAGCTTCCTTTTCTCCTAGCTGCCTCTGGCCACACTGATTCCCTGCACTTGCTGATTGACAGTGGGGAGCGCGCTGACATCACAGATGTCATGGATGCCTATGGACAGTGAGTGGGGGGCCAGGGTGGATATAGGTTTTCCTATCCTTGCTGGACCATCACCCTTCCCATTACTTCTGCAGAACCCCACTGATGCTGGCCATCATGAATGGCCATGTGGACTGTGTACATCTGCTGCTAGAGAAGGGATCCACAGCTGATGCTGCTGACCTCCGGGGCCGTACTGCTCTCCACCGTGGGGTGAGTGGGCTCACAGATGACCCTCAATGTGGGGGTCACAGGGTCACAAGGTGTTAGAGCTGGGCTAGGATTTTGTGCCTTGGATCTTACTGAGCTTTACTGTGTTGCTTCAGCATATGTGGCTTCCCCAGCTGACTTTCCCAGTTACCCTCTGTCATTACATGCAGCCAGCCTTTCAGCCCAGGCTGTGTCCAAGATGCCCTGTTGACAGTATCCTGTTGAATAGTGTTGCTACCTTCCCTATCTCCTCCATGATTACCTATCTTAAATCAGCCTCTAGGGCTGGGAGATAGCTCAGCAGCATAAGCACCTGCCTGGCAAGTGCAAGCTCCTGAGAGGTCTAAAGCAGCTCCATCTCCTGCTGCAGGATTCTTCCCCCTCACTTTCCCTTTCCATTTTTTCTTTTTGTCTTTTTGATACAAGGTTTCACTGCATTTTAGGCTAGCTTTTGAACTCATTTTATAGCCTCTGCTGACTGAAAACTCAGTGATCCTCCTGTGCGTCAGCCTCCGAATACTCTTTCTTCCCTTCCCTCCCCTCCCCTCCTCTCCCATCCTTTCTGTGATATGTTCTCACTATATTGCCCATGCTGGCCCTGCATTCCTAGGCTCAAGCGACTCTCCTGCCTGAGCCTCCCAATTAGCTGGTACTACAGGTGAGCCCAGCTTTCCCACGGGATGCTTTGGTTCTTGCATCTTCTCACAGTGTTTGGTCTTTGGCTCCAGATCTCCAGGATTAGCTCTGGCCATCCTGACTATTAGATGAGTCATCAGGGAAGGGAATGCTAATCCCATGCACTAGAATCATTGCAAAAATAAGGATTAGAGCACTGGAAGTAGTTCTTACTCCTGCCCAGTCCCCAGTGAGTGGCCAGTAGAAAGAGTGGCTCCCCATCTCACTCCTGCCTATGTTCCCTGCAGGCAGTGACTGGCTGTGAGGACTGCCTGGCTGCCCTGCTGGACCACGATGCATTTGTGCTGTGCCGAGACTTTAAAGGCCGCACACCCATTCACCTGGCCTCAGCCTGTGGCCACACTGCAGTGCTGCGGACCCTGCTTCAGGCTGCCCTTTCCACAGACCCCCTGGACGCCGGGGTGGATTACAGCGGATACTCGCCCATGCACTGGGCCTCCTACACTGGTACACTGGGGCCTGTGACAGGCACAGGGATGTATGTGGGGTGGAGAAGAGAAGATGGGTTGTGGGACAGAGTCTGAAAGTGGCTTGGGAGTTCAGACACAGGACAGGACAGATGGAAGAAGCTTGCATTTTTCCTGTTGCCATGCTTTCCTCCTTATATTCAGGACATGAAGATTGTCTGGAGTTGTTACTTGAACACAGCCCATTCTCATACCTGGAGGGAAACCCCTTCACTCCTTTGCACTGTGCAGTGTAAGTCTCTTCCTCTGCAGCAACCCTGTTGTAGGATGCTGTGACCTGGGCTTAGAATCCATCTCCTTTACCCCTGCTGATGGCCCATCTTCTCTCCCAGAATTAATAACCAGGACAGCACCACAGAGATGCTGCTGGGAGCTCTGGGTGCCAAGATTGTGAACAGCCGAGACGCCAAAGGACGGTGAGTGATGAAGCCTTGGGGAAAAGCTGAACTGCCTCTGGCTTCATCTCTCTGCCCAAGCCAAAGAGCCTTCCTAGTTCACTCTACTCTGACCCCCACCCAGGACCCCCCTTCACGCCGCTGCCTTCGCGGACAACGTCTCTGGGCTCCGGATGCTGCTGCAGCATCAAGCCGAGGTGAACGCCACTGACCACACGGGCCGCACTGCACTTATGACAGCGGCTGAGAATGGACAGACTGCTGCTGTAGGTATGTGCCCCCTCCCTGAAGGGAGGAGGAGCCCTGGGGCGTGCTTAGGAGGGATCATCCTGCTTGTGAGTGTGGGGTGCAAGGCCCAGAGGGTGTCTGTAGATGTCTCATGATGCAAAGTATTTGCAGTTAAGAGGGTAGAAAGCTAGTAGGGCTGCTGCTCTGGAGGGAGGCCTCAATCCCTGTGTGTTTCTTATAGAATTTCTGCTGTACCGAGGGAAGGCGGACCTGACTGTGCTAGATGAGAACAAGAACACTGCCCTCCACTTGGCTTGTAGCAAGGTACTTCTGGAGTGGTGCTGGTGCTGTGTGAAGGGCAGGGGTCGGTGCAGGGTAGGTCTTGGCTGCAGACAGGACTGGGGCAGAGGTCAGGGTTGTCTAGCCTACCTGACTGCATCTACCCTCCTCCCCAGCTCCTCCTCTGTGGCCTGTCATGCCTCCACCTCATGAGTCTGTATTGTCTATTCCCCCTCAGGGCCATGAGAAATGTGCCCTCATGATCCTGGCAGAAACCCAAGACCTTGGCCTTATCAATGCTACCAACAGCGCGCTGCAGATGTGAGTGCCCGGGGCTGGGGGAGGCAGGTGGGTGAAGAAAGTGACCACACTCCAGGGGCTCTTGAAGCTCACTGTATTTGTTCAGCACCCTCGCTGCCCTCTGGGGCTGCCAGGGAGTCTCAATTTCCTGCTGACTCTGGTTGCCCTTTTTCTTTCCTTTTTCCAAGGCCACTCCACATTGCTGCCCGGAATGGTCTTGCTTCTGTGGTGCAGGCCCTGCTAAGTCGTGGGGCCACAGTACTAGCTGTGGATGAAGAAGGTGGGTGGGGTCCAGAGCTCCCTCCCTCTCCTGGGTTTGGGGTCGGGGGTAGTCCTCAAGGGATTAACTTTGCTGTAAATGAGATTTTCTGCCCAAGGAAGCTCTTTAGAGCAGGGACCCACCCTCAGTACTCTGAATCTCAAAGGAGAGTCCAACAGAGCCAGCAGGGGGCAGGAGAACCCTTCCCACAAACCCCAGGCCTCTGTTCCTTGCACCCCACCTTCTTTCCCACATGGGCATCTGCTTGTCAGGTCCCTGGACCCTCACCATCCTTGATTTCTGACCATGCTGGGTGTTTATCTGCCGTGGCTCCCCTGCACAGAGAGCCAGGGCCCAGGGGTACAGTACCCTGTGCATCAGTTCTTTCCCTCCGCCCTGCAGGTCACACCCCAGCACTGGCCTGTGCCCCCAACAAGGATGTGGCAGACTGCCTGGCCTTGATCCTTTCCACCATGAAGCCTTTCCCACCCAAGGACGCCGTCAGTCCTTTCAGCTTCAGCCTGCTCAAGAACTGCGGCATCGCAGCCGCCAAGACGGTGGGTGGCTGCGGTGCCCTGCCCCACGGGGCCTCCTGCCCTTATAGCCAGGAGCGGCATGGCGCCATTGGGTTAGATGGCTGCTACTCTGAGTAGCCCCCTCCAGTGTCCCTCCCCCTGCCGGTGGCTTGATATCTTATTCTATTTATTTAGAAAAAAATCTAAACATTTAGGGCACTTTAAAGGAGAACACGACTGGGTGGCAGGGCGGAGGGGGGAAAGGAAGCCCTGGGGAGCAGCTGCTCACCCCTTTGCCACACCATCCCAGCCTGGCAGAGGTCTGGGACAGACAGGGAACACCCCAGGCCCTTAGTAACCCCAGGGCAACCCCTTCTGCCAAGTGTCCCAAAATGATTGAGAGATGCCTGGCTTTCCTTCTCTTTTATTCCATCTCAGTTCCCCCTTTCTGCTGCCAGCTCCCCCACTCTTCCCTCTGACTGTCCTCTCCAGGTCACCCGCCCCTGCCCCTACTGCCAGGCAGACCCCTCCTCTTCTTCCATACCCATCACTGCCTCCCTGCTCGGCTGGCCCCTCCATCCCTGCAGCAGTGAGAAGCCTTAATTTCTGGTACTGTGTGAGCACTCTGGGGGTGTTCGCCTCCCCCTTCAGGGGCAGCTAGAGGATGAGGGGGGAGGGTACTTAGCACTGGGGCCTGGAGCTTTCCCCCCACTCTATACCCAATCACCCCTAAAGTTCAAATGCAAAACACTTGAAGCAGCGACTACTGTACCTGGGCCCCAAATCCTGCACTCTCCCCTGGCACCTCATATGCAAATCAAGGGCTGGTTCCGCCCCCACAGCCTAGTCCCCTCCCCTCCCACCTCTGGCCTGGCCACGCACTTTAACCTTGCTTTTTTTTTCTTTTAACTTCTTTTGGGAGAGCAGAGCCTGTGGCCATTCCCACTCTGGCTCACTTCTCCCTCAATGTTGAGGCTTGTCATGAATTTTTAAGTAACCATTTTATCCTTTAGGGGAAGAAAGTTAATTTCCTGCCCATTTCAAGACCATAGCCCTAGAATGTCCTCCGTGTTTCAGGCATGTGCTGCTTGCATGTGTGTGGAGGGAGGTCCTTCCTCCCGTGCTCCCATCCCAGAGTTCCCTAAGTCCCCTGTCTGCCTCCACCTTCTGTCATGTCCGAGAGTACCCAACGCCCCAGTCACTCCTGATCTGAAGCCAAAGATGGTGGGAGGGGCGGGGCAGACTAGGGACCGTGCTGAAAGGTGGAAGCAGGCCTCTCTGCCTGAGGAGGAAGTCCTGATGGCAAGAGCAAGGGTGGAGCCTGCTGCTCATGGTGGAGGGGGCTCCCCTCCCAGCCAGGAGAGATGGGATTGAGCTGGGGACTGCACTGATAAGATTCCTAGAAGTCGCACCCTAGAAGCCAAACTGGGCCAGAGTGAGAAGGGGGCAGTTTTCTCTCTAAATGTAGCAATGAATCTGGCCCTGGTCCCTTTGCGTGCCCTGTCCATCCATGTCTTAGGTAAGCCTCTGTGCAGTTGGATCCACTCCTATAGCCCAGTGTTTCCTTCCTCATACTCAATACCTCAGCCAGGGGCCAAGACACAGAACTTGAATAGAGGTCCTGCCCCCTACCCCCAGTGCATCTTTGCCCAGTTTGGCTGCCATCAGTATTGTCCCCTGAGAACTGGACAGACTTCGTTTACACAGTACAAGGGGTCTCCCCTGGGGACCCCTCGGCCTCTTTCCCCCACCAGAGCTCACTCTATTCAAATCTTATCCATTTTTCAGTTGTGTCCCTTGAATGTCTTGCTACCCTTGCCAAGGGTGGGGGTGGGGGAGGTCCCATCCCAGGGATGCCTCCCTCCCGACAGATGCCCTTAACCATACCTCATGCTGGTTCCCTGAAGCCTGGGGTGTTTGTTCAAGTCTTTATTTCTTTTCCTAGTTTCTCCTTATCCTCTATCTCTGTCTTGCTTCCCCAACTCTTAGATCCTAAACCATTTCAAGGCTTCCAAATGACCATTATTGGTGAGAAGGATTGTGCAGCTTTTAGTTTTTAGTTTTGTTTTCAAAGCCAAAGGGCCTTGCAGTGCCCCTCTTGCCCACCTCCCTTCATCCCTTGTCCTCCCCTATACGACAATCAATGTGACTTCTCTTAAGGGCTGCCGCCCCCACCCCAACCCCGCTGGTTCTGCAAAGCTTGCCCCCTAACTTCAGTTCTTTCTCCTGAAATCTTCCCATTCCACCCCTTCCCTCTCATTTTGGTGCTGGGAATTAGGTGGTAGGGGGCACGGGGAGCAGGGAGATGGGTTCTCTGGGAATGTTGGGGTATCAAGTCGTGTTCTCCTTTATCAATGCTTAGTGGTGACAGGAAGAATCTGAGTATTTGTCAGGAGCCCCATTGTTTTGTTTTGCTAGATGAGATTTCTGGTGGCTGTCTGTTCCCTGCTGCCCCTCAGCATGTTGTCAGCAGTGCTGGGGAGGTGGGGAGCTCCCTGCTCCTCCTCATGTGGCTATGAGGAGGCCTGGAGGGCCAGCAGCCTCCTCTCCTTATGCCAAAGGAAATCCCGCACCCCACCCTGGGCTCCCCAACCCCTAGTGTTTTTTGAAGCATTTTGACCATTCTCATGGCCACTGCATATTTATTTTAATGTTAAGATTTTTTTAAAAACCTCTTTGACTTAAACGGGTGTGGAGAAGTAAAACAGGCAGAATGCCCCCCAATTTTAAGGGGGTAGGGTGGGGGAGGAAGCACCTCCTTCCCTTCACCTTCCTCTCCCCTCCCCCTCTCCCCACCGCAGCTCTAAAGCACTTGCTTCAAGTAATAAGCACTTTTGTGAAAAGGCCTATTTGGAGTGAGGACCTGGGGAGTAGTCCCAGGTCCCAGCAAAGGAGACAGAGCGAGGGCTACATAGGAGACAGACTTGTGAATCAGAGGCAAGATGAAAAGAGCCAGTTTTTAGTTTCTGATATTCGGGGGAATGTTTCTGGTTGGGCGGTGGCTTTGGTAGGGTTGTGTACTATACTTCAGAAAAACAAATGGCACAAACTGTGGGTCCCAGGATGGACCGACAGACCCAGGTCACTGCCACTGTCCAGCTGAGACTGATGGGCCCCTCCCCCATCCCGTGGCCCCCTGAGCCATAGGACTGCTGAAAACCACTGAATGTACAGCCCAGGTTGGGGTGGGGAGCAGCCCCTGGGGGAGGGGCTTCTCCTTTTGTTTGGTGCTGTGGGGGGTGGGAGAAATGAGACTGAGGGACTGCCACCCCAGTAGATGTGTGTTCCTTGGGGTGGAGGGGCTGAGGAGGGCCTGCCTCCCTCTCCAACCCCAGCCATGGCCCCTCTTCCTTCCTCACCCCTATCCGTTTTGACTGTAAGTCCAGCTCACCTTTGCCTTCAATATGTAACCAAAGGAAAACTCAATACTGTTTCCACCACTGTCTGCCCACCCGAGCACCTTCTTACTCCCTGGACTTAGAAGGGGAGAAGAGGATGGGGGTGGGGTGGGTGGGGCCAGAGTGAACGGTTCTACAACTGTACCCCCAAAACCTTCTCTGCGGTCTTGGAAGGGGTCCTGAGAGGTGGGGCAGGGCCAGGCTGGCCAGGCTGGGAGTAGGCACACTCTGTATCTTACGCACATGGCACAGGAGTGTTTCCTTGTCGAAGTGACTCCAGTGACTGCTCCAGTGGGGAGGCCCCTTCCTCGTCCCTCTCAGCCATTCATCACCCTCTCCCCACACCCAGCATTCATTCCCCACCTCCCTTCCCACCGCAAAGGAAAATAGCCTTACAGACCCTAGCCCAGAAACCCTACTCCTGGGGCAAGCCAGTATGGGCCCCCATCCCGCCAAGTTTGAACCCTACCTTTTGAAAAGGAGGGCTAAGGAGCAAAGCAGTCTCTTTCCCCTCTAGTTGTGGTGGCTCCAGCCCTCCAGGCCTTGGCCCGGCCCTGGGGAGGAATCTGAGGACCAAGCCCAGCTATCTGGGAGGAGGGAGGTAAAGAGGGGCGAGTCTGATTTGGGGACTCCCTCCTCCTGACCCAACCCCCAGAGACTCAACCCCTAGAGAAGTGACCAAATCCCAGAGATGGGCGGGAGCTGGGGTGGGGAGGGTCTGCTCTTTGAATTACTTGAAGGTACTGATTCTGAGGCTGCTGTTGCCCACCTAGGTGTGAGGGGGACACTGTCACTGCTTTTGGGAGGGCAGAGGGCGGGTGACAAGAGGACCTGTCCAAGGCCCTCACTCACTCCTGCTAGGCCCTTTCTCTGGGGAGTCTGCAAGACTGACTGCCCCAGGGAAGGTGGGGAGAGCCTCCCCTCCCATCTCCATCCTCACTCTGGGCACCCTCTCCAATTGCACTAAAGTAGCTGTTGTGCCAGTCTTACCCCATGCCAGGGTGGGGTCTCTGCTTCCAGTCTTTTCCCACTGCCTCTGCTCCCCTCCCAGACAATCTCCTTGTTCCACTTGTATTCCTGGATAGCTCAGCTTTGTGTGTGTGTGTTGGGGTGGGGGGGGGGTCCTGGCTGGAGTGGGTTTGGCAGGGGTTTGGGAAGGGCTAGGGGAAAGATGGAGGACGATGTCTTCTTCCCCCTTCCTCAACTCTAAGCCACAGAAGCCTGGGAGGGAGAGTGCTTCCTCTCGCTGCCGTGTGTCTTGCAGATGTGCCAAAATGGGAGGGTGGGAAGGGAGGGTGCCTGGCAGAGCAGCCCCAAGGGTGGCTCTCTCAAAGCAATACAGTTCCCCTGCCTGGGGGACAGCAAGACAGGGGAGAGGGTGGGGTGGGCACCTGGGGTTCCCCGTGTACAGCTGTGTATATTCAGGGGTGTTCTCTGTCTGGTACCCACTGTGGGCATCTATGTGTGTGTGAACCTCCCCTTCCCCGTGCCCTGCATGACCTGTGATGCTGCAGACACCACCATCCTGTGTGCAGGTGTGTCGGGGGCATGGAGGGGCATGTTTCATGTCCTGTTGCACCCTCCACCCTGTGACCCATGTACTCGGTTGTAGGAAGTAAAGAGAACTGAGCACAATTCACTGGATTCTAGTTGAATCTTTCTCTAAGCAATGTCCTCACTCCTGCCCTTCCTTCCCCTGCCCTGGATCCACCTGTGGTGCTAGTGTTGGGGTCGGGGGTGTTTGATGCTGGTGGGCAGCAATAAAGGGCAGATCTGCCCAGATAACTGCATCCCCAGGGTGCTGAGGGCAATAGGAAAAAGTAGGGACCTCGGTGCATTTGCCCCACCCCTCCCCTCCTCCCTGGGCTAAAGCACAATGCTCCCCCTGAAGATTGATGCACCCTGTCCCCTCCAGGCCCCTACTTACATCCTCCCCCAACCTGCTTTGAGCCCTCCCACCACACCCCGGTTTTCTATGCTGTTTTGGTGCAAGTACAACTGTCGTTCGTAGTCATGGCTTTGGGATGGGTTCTGTTTATTAAAATCCTATTGCTCCTACTGGCCCTGTGTCCCGCCTCCATTCCTGTGGTTGGGGGGAAGGAAGGGCACTCTGGACCCCTTGCCACCGGCCCCCATCAGCCATCGGAGACCAGGGGCAACAGCTGCTCCTCCAGTAGGGCTATGGTAAGCATGAGGCTGCCCCCCAGCAGCAGCCCCAGCCCTTGCAGCAGCACGTGGAGCGTAGGTTGGGGCTCAGGAGGATGGAGCAGGACTGGCAGCTGAAAGAAAAGGATGTTGCAATTGTCGCCTTGCCTCTGGCCTCTTAACCTGAGAAGGTGGTACCAGAATCAGCTCCCACCCAAACACTTTATTCCCATGTTAGGCCCTGGTAGGCCTGTAAGCCAGCACCATTCAGAACCTGGCAGTGACTGTGGAGGGGCTGGTATGTCCCATCCAGACCCACCTGCCCACCCCTTTTGATATCTCTGCTCTTCCCTATACCTCTCACCATGTCCACGAGGGCCACATAGAGGAAGACCCCAGCAGTGACTCCAAACACCCAGGGGGTGAGGGGAAAGGGGCCCAGGCTGAGCCCCACCCCTAGGGCTGCACCCCCCAGTCCCAATGCTCCAGATATGAGGCTCAGCAGCAGCAGCCTCTGAAAGGACAGGCCTGCCTGGAGCAGCATTGCAAAGTCACCTGTTGGGGACAGAAAGTAGGCTAGGAGAGGACAATCCAGGGCTGCCCTTCACCCATGTCACCCATCAGCCTCCTAAGTATCCCTTGGAGGTCTTTCTAGAGCCCACTCCCCTGTGCCATTCCTACCCAGTTCGTGGGGCAGTTCATGGCAGAAGACTGCCAGCGTGGTGCTGAGGCCACTGGAGAAGCCATCCGAGAAGGCAGCACCTGTGGTCCATGAGTGGGAGGTTCAACCCCTAAGCCCTAGAGGCCGGTGCCTGTGTACACTCATCTCCCGCTTCCAGCAGCCCTCTTACTCCCAGCCAAGAATGAGGGCCCTAGCTTCCTGGCACCTTCCCCCTCACACCTATGGCCAAGCCGTCGGTGAGGTTGTGCAGACCATCTCCTAGGAGGACCATCCATGTGATGTTGGCACCACTGCCACCCTGGTTCCCGTGACTGTGGCCTTGGTGCCCAGGAGGGGCTGGTGTTGGTGGGGACTGGCTGTTCTGTTCCCTCTGGCCATGAGCCCCTGGCTCTGCAGGAAGAACAAGGACAGGTATTGGGAGCTGCAGGTGAGAACTGGGCCAGGAGCCTACTCCCCGTTTTCTCCTCTAGTCACCTGTAGCTGCCTGCAGGGGCCAAAGGGCCATCCTGGTGCTGTCTTCAGGATCTGGGTTTGGTGTTCTGAGATTCCTTCTCTGTCGTCTGCAGCATCTCTGAAATAGTAGGGTATTCCTCCTGGTGGAGGAGGCAGCAGAGCCAAGGGCTGAGGGGAGGCCAGGCCACAGCTGGGAAAATGAGCACCTGGTCCCACCTCTGGCACGGTGAGATGTTCTTTGGCCTCCACCCTTTTCCCAGCTTGGCACCTCCCTCTGTCTCTTGTTGACTTGAACTTGGGAGAGGAGCCAGAAGTCCAGGTTTATGCTAAGGTGTCCCTACCCACTCTGATAGAGGAAAGGTGCTACACTAAGCAGGCAAACATTCCAGATGCAGGAGCACACGCTGCTCCTCACCTCCTGTTCTGTTCAGCCAGTTCTCGGCTAGGATTCTGGTGGTCTCAGCAAGTAGAGGAGAAAAGGGTGTCACTTACTGGTCGGAGCCCTCTGCGCTGGAAGAGCCCTAGCATGTTCTCCAGCATGAAGAGCAGGAGGAGGCCTCCAAGTACTGACAGCCCTGGGCCGAGATCCTCTTCTGGTCGCCCACTTGGTCCTGTGTGCTGCCTTCCTTGTGCCTGACAGAGAAGAGGTCAGGGTGTACCCTGGAAGCCCCTACCCAGCAGCAGCCCCCTCACACCTGGGAGGTCCTGGCCTTTACCCTATCCTCTGCTGGGAGGCAGCTCTGGAACATAAGTCAGAGGTAGAGGAATGGGATGGGGGTGCTACGGCTAGGAGCAGGCTGGATCCAGGAGGCCAGCTGCCAGCCGCTCCAGGGGTGAGGGGTTTAAGGAAGGAGTTTCACATACATGAGGCAGCAGGTGGAGCAGCGCATCCCCACAAAGAGTGCCTACGGCCAGGGCCCCCAGGAAGCCCAGCAGGGGCCGCAATAGACGAGGTCCCAGGAGCCTCAGCAGCAGCAGAGAGAGGGGAGCAGGGAGGCTGAGTAACAGGACTGCCAGGGTGCTATGAAGCAGGGCTGGGGAGAGCGGAGCTGAAATTAGGCCAGGGCTGGACCCAGAGGCAAGGTGGGGCCAAGATCACTGCAAGGGAGGTGGGGCTCCAATGAGGCCCCTTCCTTGACATGGAGCCCACCCACTGGCAGGAGTCAGCGTGCTCCCACCCTACTCTCACCCACTGACCAGGTAGTAGATCTCCTGGTGGGGCTGGGCCTGGCATTTGGGTGCAGACACGGCTGTCGATCTGGTAAAGCAGAGCAGGGCACAACAGAGCAAACTGTCGCGGGGTCAGAGGAGCAGCAGGGCTTAGGCCAAAATTGACCAGCAGCTGGGAGCCATTTAGACACTGGGGAATTGAGCAGTGAGTCACACATTAGGGAGTCACCGGGAACTGTGATACAGATCTTTGTACCTGTCCTTGCATTGCAGGGACTTCTCTTAGGGTCCCCTTTTCTCATCCTGGTGGGTTTGTCAGGGACTGGAGACAGCCTGCTTACAATCACTGTGCCTTAATTACTAGTGCATATTCAGTCCCATGCAAATTGGTGCCCGTGAACATTGCCATCCATTTCCCTCCCAAGCCCTAGTAGTATTGTTAGTTTGGGGGTAGAGTTTATTGAAAATCTAGAGCCCTCCATGCCAGAATTCTGGAAGGGGAAAGAGATGTCTAAAATATCTTCTAGCTAGTCTTCCTCTCAACAGCCCTGTCAAATGTTCATCCAGCCTTGGCTGCTATGTAGTTCTGTTTCTCCTCTTGCCTGCCTGCCCTTCCTTCCTTCCTTCCTTCCTTCCTTCCTTCCTTCCTTCCTTCCTTCCTTCCTTCTTCTTTCCTTCTTTCCTTTCCTTCTTTCCTTCCTTCCTTTTAGATACAGCTTATCGCAGCCAGGCATAGTGGTATAATCACAGCACACATAAGGCTGAGGCAGGAGGATTGTTGGGAGTTTGAGACCAGCGTAGCCTATCAAGTGAGCTCAAGGACAGGCTGAGCAGCATAGCGAAACCCTGTCTTAAAAAGACAAAAAACAAAAAAACATGTCCAGAATGGCCCCTAACTCAAGATCCTTCTTCAGCCTCTTAAGTGTTTTGGTCTGTGGGTGCACACCATAGCACAGGGCACCAGTCTTGGCTCGAATGCTTCCTGTAGCACTCTCCGTGCACTCTGGGTTTGTTCAGGGTTAAGTTGCAGTGCCCACCTTCTTGTGCAGATGGAACAGTAGCACAAATACATTGCTTTCCTAGATAAATCAACCATTTACACCTTGCAGATCTCCTCTCCAGAAAACCATGCCTAGATCCTACCCTGGGCTGCTTCTGTAGATTCTCTGCTTTGCCAAATGTGGTCCCTAACTTGGGCTGACCTGCTTTGCACTCGCTAGTAGAAAAACATACCCTAAAGCTAGGTTCAGATCCCTATGACTCCTGAAGCATTTCAAACTCACATCTTCATTCAAGTGGTCAGCCAAGGAATGGTCTAGCAGCAGAAGCCTGTGAAAAAGGTCTAGGCCTGAGGGGGCTGGCCCCTGGGGTAGGTGAGATTTTGACTCCTCCAGGTCACTCCACCCAGAGGGTCCCAGAGGCATGCCTGTCCAGACATCCACACTCAGCTCAGGTCCATGCTGCCTGAAAAGGAAGGGACAATGAGTCAGATTCACTCGTGGCCTCACACACCTGCTGGAGCAGTTAGTCCCCTGGAAGCTTGCGGGGCAGGAGGACCAACCATTGGCTAGAGTTCCTGGGACCCAGAAACCATGCACATTACCCCTGGAAGATCTGAGTGCAGTTATGAGACCTAGGTATAGGGGCTGCAGGGGAAGAGGAAAGGCCAGAAATGCTCCAAATTGGGAGCCACGTCAGTTGGAGACTTCAGATACTGGTCAGAGAGTAAGGAATTTAAAGGTCTGGGAGTTTGGAGGAGGAGAAGCTTAGAAGACAACAGAGGCAAGAAGGTTACTAAAAAGTTGGTTTTGAAGAGTCATTGTTCAGCACTCTTGTTTGTTTTTAATTTAAAAAAAAAAATTAGCACTCTTGTTTAAAGAAACCAGCAGTGGGGTATCTGATCTGAGCACTGAGCAGAGGTGGGACACTGTCTTTGTGAATAGGGGAGCGTTTAGTACCTGTGTGTGAGATTGTCTCCAGATGAGGGGGTAACACGGCCAGGTGGAGGCCCGTGGTGTCCCAGGCGAATTCCCTGAACTCGGCCCAGCCCCAGGCTGTGGAGAAGCCGGGCCAGGCCCGTTGCGGTCAGCGTCCCGTTCTCTCCATACAGGCCAAACAGCTGGGTCAGGTAATGGTTCTGCTCCTGCTCAGCAGGGCCCAGGTTGGGGACTGAGCCCCCTGCCCAGCCCAAAACCACCCCCCCACACAGGCCAGCCCACAGACACCACACTGGGGGCCCCATCCTGCCGGGCGGACACATTAGAGGCTTTGGCTCTGGCTTTTATTCCCTCTGGAACATCCTGAGCAGAGCAGTGGGCCCTGGAAGAAGAAGGAGCAGGTTAGGGCTGCTGCTCTGCTTTCCTGCCTACCCCCCAGGAGAAGGGAGAGCCTTCACTCCTTGCTCCTGCTCCCTCCTGAGTCCAGCAGCAGCCCCTGCTCAGCCTACTCCCACTGGCTTCTCTGGAGCAGCCTCTTGTTTACTGGTCCGTGAGCCCCTTTCTGACCCTGGCAGAGCCTGGCGGAGCTGATCATCCATCCTTGGTCCCCCAGATTACAGCCTTCGACCTGTCTTTCTCTCTCTATCCCCACTCATTTTCCAATCCTCACCCCTTCTGGCAGCGTGAGTTACCTCAGGTCCCCAGCAGCCCTTGCTGTGGACATTAAAAGGTTCCTGAGACAGGGAGGGGGAACCTAGCTAAGCTTGCAGGTGCAACAGAGGCCACGTCAGAGGGCTGATGGGCAGGCTTCTCCTCTGAGCCCACCTGCTTGGGGCGGGGCTGGGGCGGGGCCAGTGTGGAAAGGTTCCTAGGGAGAGGAGTTAATGGTTCACTGGTCTGTAGGGTAGAGGTCAAAGGTCAGTGTATGCTGGGTCCCTGAGCAGGGGTCACCCTGTCTTGAGAAAGACATGGCTAAGAACCTGTGCCCAGTTTTTCCACTTTATTTCTAGCCCACTGGGTGTGGTGGTGCATACCTGTAACCTCTTGGGAGGGTGAGACAGGAAGATTCCATGAGTTTATGGTCAGCCTGGGCGGGCTACATTATAAATTCAAAGACAGCCCAAACTACACAGCAAAACTGTCTCACCCCCTCCCAAATGAACAAAATTACAACAGAAAACTCTCTAGCCTTAATGCAGCACCCCGTGAACATTTCCCTACATATACCCCTACCCCACATACCTTACCTCCTGTATTGAGCCTCCTGTCCCCAACCCCATTCCCATGTTCCCTGGGAAGTAGGATCCAGGTGTCCCTAGCTGGGAGAGGCAGACAAGTGCTAACTCAAGATCCATGAGTAAAGAAGAAACTATTAGCCATTCTTCACCCAGGAAGCTACAGCTCTGGAACTCATAGGAATGATGAACAAGAAAGGGGAAGTCCTGCTGGAGAAGGGGAGCAACTACTGACCCCTGTCTGATGTTGGATCTGGCTTAGGAGGAGGGGAGCAAAGTGGCTGGGGCAATTGGTCTAGGGGGTTGAGCTGGCATTACCTGACAGCAGGAGACAGGAAGGACACTCAGAGGAAAGGGGACCCGGCCTTCTTGTGGCAGGCGGACAAGGGTCACCTGCAGGGAGGGAACATGGGAGGGGAGCTCCCTTAAAGGGGCAGGCTGCTTGGCCAAGGCCTCCTTGCCTGTAACCTATCTCCTAGGGACACCATGCCTAGAGTGTCACTTCCCAGAGACACACCTTCTTCAATGCCTGGCTGCTAACCCCTCCCATTTTGAAACCACAAAAAGCAAGAGTCTAGTGCAGAGTGGAAACATTTATTGGGAGGGCTTTCATTTAGACTCTCATATCACACACATGAGAAAGAGACTGTAACTGTGTTTCTAAAGAGAAGGGCTGGCACAGGGCCTGAATGTAGGGAACAGGCAGCTCCAGCTGGATGAGTGAAATATGGACTTAGGGTGAATAAGGCCACTGCTCACCACCCTTCCAGGGAAGTTTAGTGGCTAAAATACTGCTACGCTAACCCCCACCCCAAAGCCAGCAGCCCAAGGGAAGACTGGTTCTCCAGTAGAACCTGGGCTGTGGGTGGTGGCAGCAGGGGAGAAACAGTGTCTTGCTATCTCTTGCTGCTCCTACGGGTTTCTTTGCCGTTACTGACAGGATTGCTGGAGGAGCCAGGAGGGCCAGCTGCTGTGTGGCTGGGCTGGCTTCGAGTGATCCGGGTGCTGGGTGGGTGGGAGGGAGTGTGAGGGGGATGTGGGCTACCACCAGGGCCTGGCGGGGCACTCGGTCCATTCCCATTCTGGCTCTCAGAAGCTAGCAGTGGAAGAAACACAGAATTAGATACTTCCAGGATGGCAGGGTCCCCCTTTGAGGCCCACCTCCACACCCCAAAGAAGGGCACAGTCTTCACTATGCACAACTGCATGCTGAGGGTCACTGGAGAAAAGATGTGGACTGTGAGTATGAATAAGAAAACTTCATCATTTTGTTAATGGCTCTGTGAACCCTAGTAAGAAATGTTTCTCCTATTCATGTCTGTATCACTGAGAGACCTAGAATTTGCTGTTTAGTTAAAAATTCAGGGACTTCTCACAAAATGCTCCCAACCAAGCTGACTGTAAAACTGGAGAAGTATAAGAAAGGAAAGAGCTTTAAGTCTCTGTGCTGAGGGCCGGGGATATAGTGCAGTGGCATGAGCACTGGCCTGGCAAGTGCAAGGGTCCTGAATTCAATCCCCAGCACCATAAAAAATAAAAATTAAAAAAAAGCTTCTGTGCTGAAAGGTAAAAGAGGGGTATGGGGCGTTGCTGGGGGAACTTTGTTCAGTGAAAGAATGTGTGTCAGGCTAATGTGAAAGTCTGGGTTCAACTGTAAAAAAACAAAAAAAAAGAAAGAAGAGGGCAAGGTGACACGCATCTGTAATCCCAACCCTCAGGAGGCTGAAGCAGTAGGATCACTGTGAGTTCAAGGCCAGCTTGGGCTACATATCAAGTTGAAGGGCAATCTAAACTACACAGTCTCCAATAAACAAAACAAAAACAAACAAACAAAAACCCCAGGCAGCCATGGTGGTGCACACCTATAATCCCAGCACCTGGGAGGTTGGGCCAGGAGGATTGCTGTGAGTTCCAGGCCAGCCTGGGCTATATAAGTGAGTTCAAGGGCAGCCCGCACTACATAGTGAGACCCTGTCTCAAAAAAATAAAGGGCTGGGATGAGAGGAAAGTGCTTGTCTGGCATGTACAAGGCCCTGAGTTCAGTCCCCAGTACTATATACATACACACACACACACACACACACACACACACACACACACACGAAATAAAATAATAAACCACTGAGCACAAACTCATTACACTTGCTACCTCCCAAAAGATAATAACAAGTCACATTTGTTAAATTAGACACCATAGCCTCATATGCACGGAAACACTGCTGCTGAGCTCCAGCAACCTGGACATAGTTTAAGGGCTAGACTGGCGGGCCGTGGAGATGGCTCAATGGAATAAGTGCTTCCCTGTCAAGCACAAGGGCCCAGGGGCTGGTGAGATGGCTCAGTGGTCTAAAGCACCGACTTAGAACAAGCTTAGCAAAGAACATGGACCGCGGTTCAAACCCCCAGCACCACATGCCAGCCA